GTCTGTTGGGCCTTCAGTAGATTTTTGTTCTTTACTTCGATTAATAGATGTTGTTGTTGTTGTTGTTGTTATTATTATTATTATTATTATTATTATTATTATTATTATTATTATTATTATTATTATTATACATTGAATGAGTATATGTAAAAGTGATTTTTTTACTGCTGGAATGATTGTTTTATACTACAGATTTTTTCTTTGTCATATTTCTTTCACTTTTTTATTAATTAAAAAGCTACGCAAAATAATAATTAAAAAGTTACACCTATTGTTTCCATGTTATATTTGGTGTCATATGGTACAATTGTGAGATTTTTAGTGTGCACTTAGCACACAAAATGATGAAAATAGATTACATTGTTTCCAGCATGCCAAAAACATAATTATATACCATATTCACAATTTAATATATAGCTTCATATCTCATACATAATTGCAATAGGTCAAAGAGAATCCTATTTTATGAAAACAATTCATAACCAAATCTGCAGCCTTTTAAAATTATATTGAAGTCAGCTCATTCAAAATGCTTTAAACTCTTGTATAATTTGCTATTAAGCAACAGGGCTAGTTTCTTAATGCCAACATCTCTTCCAAAACTGAGACTGAATTATGGAAATCATTGAATTGCTTTGGAAAAATATTATTCAATGATAGAAGATCAATTTCAGAAAAGGACAATACTGTAATAGCCATTGCAAAAGCTAAAATCGAAGCTTTCAGACAAATAGTATCATTGCATTTTGCTGACGGTACTTACGATGTGCAGCTCTAAATAATCACCAAGCCCAGTCGAGCTATCCACACGGACCAAGATGGCTTCTTTTTGAACTGTGCTAAACCCTATGGCCAGTCTATCTGCTCGGGTGCTGGGCCGATCATTGGGAGGCCAGGTATATGTAATCTGTCCACCACCTTTGCTAAATATGTATGTTGTTCCCGCTGTAAGAAAGAAAAGAAATTAATTAGTGGGTCCGCTCTAAAAAAGAAACAAGGTGCCATATATGTTAATGCATTTGGTTTTCTAATGCCTTTACAAGCCTTTTAAAATATAATTCTCACCCTCTCAGAACCCCCTCTCCAATTTTTGCCTGCTTTTCTATACATATTTCTTTATATACAGGCTGAAGTCCTATATTCATTGACCTGGGAATATTCTGTGTAGAACTGAGAGGCAATATGCTATTTTTAAAGGACTTTGATATTGGTCCTATTTAGGCAAATAGTGTGATGTAAGAGGGCATGTACAACTATTGTCCCCCAAGACTCACAAACCTCTATTTGTGTATAGATGTCTAGGTCTATAAATGTCTAGAATCCATATGCCGTCTGTAAGAGCATTTGATTGAATTTATTCACCGGCCTCCATACAATGTGAACTCTACCCCAAAACAAGAAAATGCATTAAGGATTTTCAAGAGCATGTGTGTATAATCCACTTCCAAAGCTGAACACACAATGCTGGAATTAGGACTTGTTCAGGTATTCCAGTTGCTATCACACTTGTAATCCATGGTATGCTGTCTGAATTACTGCTCGTAATTTATCACTCCCCACAGTCTTACTAGTGGGTACTTGTTTTTTTACAATTTCTTACTTTATTGCAGTCTGTTCAATTGGCACTAATATTCCTTAAATTTCGAAGCTCTGAAATTATTTGGGTTTTTTTCTGATCATTTTTCATGTTCAGATTTTTGAAATCAGTATCCAGATGTATGATGGGTTGGGGAGTAATTCTACTTACTGTATAACCTTGTATTATCAGAATCAAAGAACTAGTTCCCATATGCATACATATTAAATGAGATCTTATCACTGGGAAATAAAGATGTGAATTTACCCAAAGATTTTAAAATTAAAAGAACAGCTTTAGTCAGTATAAATGCCCAATAGCTTTAAAAATTGTTTTATTGTCTCTAACAATACTGCAGTATCTAGTTTGCCTTTGTATTTCCTACTGAATTTTTAAAACTCACAGAAAAACTCATAGAAACATATGCTCACAATGTCTTCATGTTTACCATATTGTACAGAGGTTTTCTGTGCATTATTTTTAATAATGCAAATTACTCAAGAAGCAATTTTAATACAGTTCTTTTAAATTGTCTGTAAATGTCCTTGATAAAAAAATGTAAAAATGCAAATCCCTCCACATAAGTATTGCTATTTGTACACTATTTTCAGGAGGACAATCTTTTTAGTCCACTTTATGTAAATTTTTGATCAAACCTCCCCCCCCCCAAACAAAAAAAAACACAAAAATATTTTACTTGACAATAACATTTGTCTTCCTCTGAAGTTAGTGGAGTACAATATCTAACTTTGCTGTCAGTGAAATTTGAGGGGACATTGTTTTATATTCCTATACAAAAATATACATATATGAATAACTCACATTCAAGTCCTTTGCAATTTTTAAAAATTATGCAGTTGAAGGAAACAAGATCACATTGCTGTCAGGTAATTTCTAATTCCATTCAATATATCCAATCATATATTCATTCATACATTGTAAATTTATCTATATGTTCAAAGCAGGTTTAAAATGACCATTAATTAGGGTCACTTTAGTTGTATTCAAACATACAAACCTTACTCCCTGCTTATACCCAATAGACCCCCCAAAAAAATTAGTCTCTGAAGGACCAAAAAAAGTCATATTTTTTTTCCTGAGCAAGTAAATAAATCAGAACATAGTTTGAACTAAGTATAAAGGAAATGAAAATCCAGAGGGGTTCTCCCAGAATAATGTAAATGTTTATAATTAACTACAGAAATATCTGGTGTAATTGAGACAACAAACAGCTGAGCTACCTCCCTTACTGTCTCCCCTTAGGGAAGGAGTTGAGAGGTAAAAAAAAAAAAGAAGTTCAATGTTTAGCTAAGAATTTGGGAGAATAGTAACTGACTCATTTTTCTCAGTGATTTACCATAGAACACTACCCGGCCCTCAAAAAAGGGGTGGGGGGAAGGAAGCAGAAAGATGGCAGGTTCCTGCCTGAGGGAAAAACTGCACATTATGCAGAAAGCACAGCATACAACTATATCTTCATTAGTGCTGTGCAATTCAACTGCTAATGGGACCACAGGCAATGAGGATAAGGAGGTTTATTCCTTTCTGTGACTGGGATGAAATCACCCTTATATCCATACACCCAAATATACCAGCACAGCTATGAGATTTAATTAGCCCTTGTTGGTAATTAAACAAAAATAACAAGCAGCTGCACACCACGCATTCAGCATAACAAGCTGCTCAAACCCATGATCCTCACAATCAGTTCTTGTCTTACTTGTTTTTAAATGGAAACCATGCAACTGCAATGCCAGCATATTGCGCTTAACAATCTGAGTCCTCATTTTACCAACTTCAGAAGGATGGAAGGCTTAGAATCAAACTCTTGGCTACGGGCAGAGTTAGCCTGCAATTTTTAACCACTTCCCCACCACAACATGTAGTACATTCGTATCCACTCCTTAAGTTTCTTAAGATTCTTCTATTTGAAAATAATAAAACACAGCCAATGTTTCTGCCAGAGTTCAAAGCAAGGGGCATTAAATGTTTAGAATAACACTTAACTGCATAGTTTTCAGACATTCTTAAAACAGGCTTAACTACTACTGGTCACTTTGCAGCTGATTGAGCCACATACATTTCTAAATAGTGCCCTCGGTGAGTACAGTGATAATACAGTGATGTATTTGACTAAATTGAAGGTATGGATAGTTACATTTAAGGGTTGTTGAACTTTATGCCAGACCAAAAGCTCTAGCTTGCTTCACACTTAACAAATCAGATTTTAAAAATATGTTTTTTTTTCTAGGCCTTTTAATCCTTGCTTGTTAGGGCTGGTACAAATTCAGACATGTTGATTTCCATATGATTTTAAATAAAATAATGGATGGTGCTATCCAGAGGGAACCAAATAGGAGAAATCTTATTCATAAGTAATTCAGAATTTCTTTACCATTTTGGCTCACTCTATCATTTGAATTCCCCAATTGTCTGATGTTTTAGAGTCAACCAGGGGAATCTATCAAAACTTTCCATATCCATAATTCAAAGCAATTTACTGGGAACATCAAAGGAAACTGCATAACAACAAGTGAAATTTTGGCCTTTCTAGATCAGTTTATTTGACTCTGGTACAGGATATTTTCATCCTTTGCTAATATTATAATTACCTTTAGAATTATTTGGCGACATTAGGAATAGAATCAAATAGTATTATAAATGTATCTTTACAATAGTACTATAAAATTATGAAAATTATGATGGTGACCAAGCCTTGCACTTATGACCATCACAACTGGTGAGCATTTATGACCACTTCAGCACTATTTGAGGGCTTCCCAACCAGCTTGGGATGTACAGTTAATAGAGAAGCCAGTAGTAAAATTACAAGTCAGGGTCACACAATGTTTCATTTAACAATTGCAGGTGACACAGTGATGAATAGGAAACAAATGAACTCTCTAAGCAAGAACTACCTGTATTTGGCTGCAATCTTAAACAAGATTCTATTTTGCTATGTTTCACCTTATTAGTCTAAGTGGGGTCACAACATATGCAGCTGCATTAGGCTCAACAAAAGATGATTTTGAGTGGACAGGTCTTCCCCTAGGAAGTCAGATCTCTGTAATGGATAGATTTAATGGGTTGACTGATCTAATGCAGCAACAACTTAGCCAATGTACAAATCAAGTGAATGGAGTTATTATCCTAAGTAGGATTTTATTATGTGCTAATTTTTGTTATCTAATATGAAAATCCTAGATGTAACCTTACTTTTTACTTCAGGTTCTGTGGGCACTCATTATGAAAACATAATTTTAAACATCTTATTTTACAGGAATTATTCTGAAATATTAGTCTAGAGCTGTGTAAAGGATCCAAACCTGTTATTGCATTGGCTCCAAAATTCTTCACATTGGATTTACCTATGAGCCAGGATGTCAACTGTGAAATAAGAAATTACTTATTACATATTCCAGCACTAATCTTTTTGATTCTGGTAAGTCACTTGAGGACAGTGGGTTAAAAAAAAACCTGGAGATATAAATATGAGTTGTCAAGTCTTCCTCTTTTCTGTTGAATGTCAGGAGCTCTTTTTCCGAAGTGTCATAACAAATGTACTATAAGTTCCTCGCTTCCCTTATGGACCACACTGCAAAATCAATTCAGGTCAGTCACTTGACAGTCAAGCTGTCTCTCTCAAACCACTAAGGAGCCTAAAAGCCTAAGGAATATGGTAGTATCATTAAAAATCTTATTGAAACATATATACATTTGTGAGATACAGGTCACAATAACTTCCTGTAATTAACCCCGCCCCCTTGTGTTTAGTTGGCCCCACAACACGCTTACTCATAGTTCTGACTTAATTAACAGGATTGTCTGATCAGGACTTGTAAACATAAATTTGAATTGAGGTGATATTAGAATCCAAGTTTTCCCAATTCATGATCTATCTAGTGTGAATCCACTCTCTTCTTTCCAATTACATTTGGTTGCAAAAGGATAACTTCTATGGGGTTAAGTTGGGGGTGACTCCACAAGTGATTTGCAATACCCACATTTTGTTTGGAGAAGACTTAGACTTAGAATAACTTTATTATCACTTTAAATGTATACTAATCAGCATACATTAAAATGAAATTTTATTGCATATAGCTGTCAAAAGATCACCACCTCCAACATACATTACATAAACATGACTAAATACATACATACATACATACATATATACATACATACAAAATTATGTATATATCCACAAACCTACATATATTATATGACACAGTGAGACAGTCCAGTCTAATCCGAATGTAAACATGTACATGGCGAGAAAAATGAATCTTGCAAGTTTGCCAGACAGATGGCATAGGGAACAAAGCTGTTATAGAATCTGGTAGTCCTGCTAGAAATGCTTCGAAACCTC